ATTGGAACATAGCCACTCTCCATTTTTTTATGCTTGTGGCTGTTCCTTTGCTACAAATGGCAGAGTTGAGTAGTTGTGACAGAGACCAAATGGCCCACAAAGTGTAACATATTTAGTATCTAGGCCTTTACTGACAAGGTTTGCAATTCCTGGTATAAGAGAAAAGTGGACAATAATGGTGGACAGGAATGCTAGCAGATCTATAAGTATAGCAAGCTCTGGAGAGAAAGAGCCATCAAAAGTTTTGAATATAGGTGGAAGCCAATTCGCAACTGTCTCTGATTACTTAACTCATCACCTGGGCTTGCAAATGTTTATTAAATCAACAGATCAAATATTTGCTCTTGAAAATAATGAATGGGTTTTCTGTATGGTACATTCCTCTTAACTCTCTCAGGTCCATCCTAATGTCACACAGGTGTGCTATGAGCAGCTCTCACAGATTTTCACATTGTTGGACTCAAAAAAATTACCTTGAGTTTTGGGGCTTCTCTAAGAGTATAGGTAGATGACTCCTCCTTGGACCTTTCGTATTTGGATTGCATGACATTGTTCTTCTTCTACCTTTTCTACAATAGCTCAAACATAGATACAAAAATGAGGTTTTGTATTGACACAAAGAATTAGCAAAAAGTCCTAGTTCTTTCCAGTGGGTTTGTGAGGGCCATATCATTAGAGAAAAAAGTAGTTCAGGCAAAACAAACTTCAGAAGAAGGTCAACTATTAGACTTCCCCTTCTGTGGGTGTTCCCATCATATCCACCATGGATGCATTTCAAATTTCCACTCTACTATTTAAAGCAGCATATTACCAAGCTTCAGAGGCTAAATCTAAGACTAGTGTAGAGAAACACACATGGGAAAAACCTCCAATAAGAAGAAAAACTCTGGGAAACGTGGTTAAGTAATTTCAGACTCAATTAATAATGGAGACTTTAATATCCTTGGAGCAATCCAGTGCAAACCAAATTTAAACTACGTGCCAGTGCTTCCAGCCAAATTTACTTTCGATCGTTTATGTTTTTAAAAAATCTTAGTGGGGAATTCTTTAAGTAAACCAAATCTGGTTAAAAGTTACATTCTTGTAGGTAATGAAAATTAGGTAAAGAACATTAACTTTAGATTTTTTTCATTTTTAATTAAAAACAAATAGGATATCTTATTTTTTCTTTCTTTTTTTGGTTCATTTGAAAAAATTTTTTGAGAAAAAATGCAAACTTCCAATAGAAAGAGTAGTGCTGAGATGAAGTTAAGGGAGAATATTAAGAGAGAATGAGAAAATATATAATACTTTTAAAATGAAATTTAAGATCATGCATAACTTGTATTAGAGTTCATCCCAGATAAGTATGAGTATAGTTGGGGGGTAGTGATGAATTCTGGATTAGAACAGTGTAAAGCTTGGGAAAAGCAGTAAGCTTAAGTCTTGGGAATGCAAAATGGATGATATTTTGGAATGCTCAACTATCCAAATGGAAGGAAATGAAGCTTAATCCCATATGTCAATATATTCTCATAAATATCCACCTAAAAGGCCCCAGCCACAGACATACTTGGACACAGATATAGATACAGACACACAGATATATGGACAAATAAATACACGCTTTATGATGTAAAAATGTTCCTAGGTCAAAATTGTAACAGTGCAATGGTTTCTAGAAAACAAAATAATTTTCTATTCTGGCTCAGAATGTAAAAAAAAAAAAAAAGACTTTCCCATAACATTGTATAATGGATCTTCCAGTCACAGTTTCCTATGGAAACATATTATATATAGTGGATGACAAGAAGAGTTTTATGATATCTAGAATCCATTTAAAATCTTTGAATAGGAAAACTTGAGATCCAATTAAAACCTTAATAAATGACTCTATATTGAATATAAATATATTAAATTAATATGTGTGCAGGATGAAATTGGAAAAGTTATGGGAGTCTGCATTTTAATTGTTTCTATTAGGAAACTGTATATTATAACTCTGAGAACTACTTGGTAATGGGGCTGTTTACAATGAAGCAAAACTAAATTTAAATAGGACATTTTAGTCTATGACTTGTCATAATTTATGAGGTTTCAGCCTTAAGGAATGTTGAGATCTCATTGGTGAGAGGCCTGTGAGGAGAGGGAAGATGGACCAATTGGAGCCCAGAAGAGCTCTAGGGAGGCTGATGCAGTGATAGGTCCAGCCCACAAAGATCTCTCCATGAAGGCAAGCGAGGGCTGGCAGGCTACTCCATGTCGAGATTGGTAGATACAGAGTGAGTGTACTTATCCTGTACACTCAGAATGAGTCTGCTCTCCACATGCATATATACTTATGCTAGGTTTTTTTCCTAGTATGTTTCCTAGGGAGTGTAGCTGTTAACATATGGCAGACCCAGAAATCAAACTACCCAGATACAAAACCCTGGTCCCCCAATTACCAGCTGGGGATGCCAACATCCATATAGATGTTATGAGGATCAAGCGGAATATTGTATTTAAATGCAGGGTATCTCTATTTTGTTATTATTATTTTTGGATATAGGCTTTTGGCTTTAGGCCACATGACTTGAGACTTGGAAAATTATTATACATCTATGGGCTAGACTAAGCTATTCTTGTAGTTGTCCAGTTTTAAAAGAGATTGTTATAAATGTGCTTCTATTTCTATCTGTATTTAGGCATAATTTGTAGATGCTAATAAAAAAATAACATTTTGGGAATTATGAACATAGGTGGTTGGCCATTTAATTGGGAGAGCCATGCCCAAGACTGATGGAGTTAGCCCTCCCTATGGTGTAACCAAGTCTCAAAGTGCTAAGGGTTCGCCTTATTAGTGTTTATCTTTCTGAAATATCTGAAGTGAATGGCAATTGTCCTATTCATTCTCTTCCCCAAGCTACTTTTAGTCAAAGGTTTTGTTCTTTAGATAGATAAAGTTAGCTACCATTTTGAGAGTGTACTAGGAATTGAGGTGAGTGGATTTACAAGCATTATTTCATTTAATTCTCACTAGGATAGATGCTATTGTATAAGTTAACAATTAAAGAGAGATTAGGAAACTTGATCAAGTTCACCTAGTAAGGAAATGCTCAGCAAGGTTGCTCATTAGATTCCGCTGTGTTGTTTCCCAGACAGGCAGACTTTCTGAAGAGAGAATGATGTGCTCTGTCCACCCTTGCCTTCCCACCTGACAGTCTCTCTTTCCTCAGAGCTTTGCTTCCACTTGGTTAAAGACCCTATCATCATGAGGTCCTGGGTTCTATCCCCAGCATCTCCACGCACACACACACAAAAGGCCCTATCATATTATCATGTATCTATCTTTCTCACTTGACTGAATCTGAAATGATTTAGAGACCATGAAAATCATTCTTTCATCCCTGACAGGTTCTGTTGTACCTCAATAAAGGCTATTTCCTCCAGTTAGCTCACAAAAATTTATTCTTCTAGTAGTAGCAATAAAGGTTTGTAGAATTAATAAATGAATGAAATACTAAATTTTCCTGGCCCACAAAAGACTATGAGCTAAAGCAGCGGTTTAAAATATACACTCCTGATGAAGTTCTTAATGAAGATTAGCCAATCTCAGAAGCAGAGGGAGGGGCTGGAAGAAGGACCGGAGAGCGGGGTGTGTTCCCTCAGAGCAATTAAAAAGCGGGGCTTCCCTTGGGAGCAGGCAGTTTGTCCTTAGTCTCAGCCTCTGCCACCCTTTTCTCATGATACCTCCTGTTCTCAGGATTCTGAGTGTTCTCATCAAGAAAACACCAAATCCTTGAAAGCCTGGTTTCCGCCTTGTGGTTTGTGAGCCCATTTCATGACTTCATAGCCACCAGCAGCCCACAGTGCTTTTCCTGACTCCATGTAGGCAAACTAGACAGGGCTTCCAGCAAGTGAAACCTTTTTTTTAGGTAAACATTTTGGGCCTGCTTTTGAAATTTTTCTGACAGGCCAAGTGGTAGAAATGTGTGTATATACAAAGAATGTTCTCTCCCCTGTTCTGTTATGTGTGTGATGTTACTTTCCTTATAGAAATAACTCTGCTTCTCTTAGCTGATTCTTACTTGGAAATTGGACTTTCCTTGCTGATTTTCACTCAGAGAGGGCCTGCTGAGGCGGGGTGGAAAGGACTCAAAACATATCTTCTCTCAGACTACACTTTCTGTTTTAGCATCAAAGAGTTCAGGTTGGATGGTGAAAAATGGCCTGTCTGGGTTTCCAAATGTAACAGGGACATTTAGATCTAACCTTGTTGCTGAAGTTGCAGTAAAGTTCATTCAAATTCTAAACTTGTAGCAGGGAAAAGCAAAATCTTGTCTATGCATGTACACACACACAATTTATATATGTATAATCAATGTATATGTATGAGAATATACTATATTTTCAAATATACATATATTCTATTACCTATATATTTATGTATATACATCTTTTTTATAAACACAGCATAAAGCACAAAAGCAATGCATTTTATACATATATACACATATACGTGTGTGTATGTGTACATACACAAAACATACATAGTGTAAGGTTCATGGCATCTTTCATTAATAGGTATTTGAATTCCCTTATTATTGATTTTAGATAAGTCCATCACAGTTTTGAAGCAGAGTGAAGTCTGTATCCTTAAACGACCCAGGGAGAATTGCATTTGCTCCTTTTGAAGAATCCTTTGATGATGCCTTTAGAAGGGTGATTCCAAACCCAATTAACTTTTTAAAAAGTGTGAAATGTCCGCAAGGAGTTCTTTTGGTCTCTTAGAGGAGACGGAATCGAGCAGTAGAAAAGACTGCACGCTCTCCCCAGCGAGACCCAGATCCTTGCCCGCTGCTGAGCAGACTTTGTATAGGTTGAACAGCAGAACGTTTACAGGAAAAAAAGAGAGAGAGAGAGAAAGAAAAGAAAAAGTAGCAAGCACCAAGCAACGGCCACCGGCGCCCGGGACGGTACGTGACCCGGGGGCGGAGCCTCGTGGGCCGTCTGCCAGTGACTGGACCGGGGGCGGGGCCGAGGCCAGGGGGCGGGGCCTGTGCCCGCGCAGCTCACTCCGCGGTCCCCTTATTTGGATCTGCGGGAATGTGGGCTGGAGCGGTCCTGCCGCGGTACCAGCCTCCAGCCTGACCCGGGACTCCCGCGACCCAAGCGCGCGCGCTTCTCTGTGCCCAGAGGGCCGGTGGAGCGTCATGGCCTGCATCCTGAAGGTAACGACTAGAATCTGTGGCTCCAACGCGTGGTTGGCCAGCCCCTTGCTGTTAAGAGGCATGGAGTCAGCCGCGGTCCCACCGCATCCTCATCTCAGTTGTCTTTTCTTGGCACTGATTTTCTTTTTGTTCTTTTGGCAAATGCATATGGAGGGGGATTCTGAAACATGCAGCTAGCACAGCTTCTCTTCCCACCATTCCTGTCTGCTCGCGCCTGCATTGAAGGAGCTGCAGACTGTTGGCTCCAGGGGAGAGCAGGGCTGCGTGCCGAATAATGGGGATGGCAAGAAGGGGAGGGGTGCTCCCGCGGGTCCTGCGGCTCTGTTGCCTGAGGCCTTTCAGGGGCCACGGAGAGAAGAAGAGTGGCTGGGTATGGGTTATTGGCTATGACTGGGATAGCACTTTGAATGGGAGTGAGAGTGATCAGAAAGAAATTCTACTGCATTTGATCATATGAAGACAGAAACTTCTGAGTTTACAGGTTGTCCTTTAGGCATGAGTTTTCTATGAAATCTGTTGGCTGTATGTGCCATTAGCTCTACTTTGGAAAAGTTCACAGGTAGGTGTATTTGTTAGTGGGGTATCTCAGACCTTCCTTTTGCTCATAAATTTGAAAAAGCAAAATGATTTTACTCCTTATCGGAGTCCTCTCCGCCACCCCTTTACTTTTAATTGAGTTTTCTTTCTCCAAGTCTGGATTCTTAGCTTGGACTGAGCATCTTTCTGAGTTCACAGCCTTGTAGCATCAGGTGAAAGGACTTGGTGTGAGTGTCTCACCTGAGAACTTTTCATCCTACAGGTAGAGGGGTTTTTTGGTTTGTTTGTTCGCTTTTCTGCACTATTGTTTCTACTCCTGCCTAACTTGATTCCTGAATGTATGAATCAAAAACAATCATAGCATGAAGGTTTCCTGGGAGAATGCAAATAAATGGCCCATTGTTCCAAGCTTGAGGGGAGAGCTGTGTGTGACAAAAGAAAACACCACAAAGCAACTTTTTCTCGTTATGTTTTTATGAAATAGTATTTGCTTATCTGTAGGATGATTTGAAGCCATCTCCTGTTGTATTAGTTCCAACATGCCTTGACACAAATAAGAGACTAACCTAGTAGAGCTTGTTTCCATTTCTTAGAGTAAAGGAGATTGGATATTTCCTGTGACTTCTCTAAGCTTCCTGTTTGGATTTGGAACATTTGCTGGGACATAACAAATGGTAGCAAGATCAAGAAGAAATAATACATCAGTATTACAATATGAGATTTTTACCTTAGAGACTTAACACAAGGACTGAAATATGAATATGAATCATCTCTACTATTTCTTGTATTATTAGCTGAAAGAGAAGTTGAACATGGCATTTATTGTTGGTGGTCTCCTTTACTTTTGGTTTCTCCCCTGCCTTATCCTCTACACGTTCCTAACATTTTTAATACTCGTCCCAAGCTACATATGAATCTCATCCAACCTTTCCTTTCCAGCACCTCATACTGACCTCAGACATTTAGGGCATATCTGAGTCTTTCTTATTTTTTCTACACTGAAACTAATCTGGGATCCAAACAGGTAACCTGCAAAGAGCAAAGGCTTTGGACTCAGAAATACCTTGGTCTGAATTCAGGCTCTGCCAATTGCTTACCTGTGTGACCTTGGAGAAGTTGTTTAAATATCTGAGTCTGTTTCCTCAATATAAGATCAAAGTAATAGCACGTACTCCACAGGTTGCTATGGGGATGAAATAAGATAGGATGTGAAAAATACTTTATGGCATAGGCTTTTGATATGTGCCATTTTTACCTGATGTATAATAACTAAAGTTTAATTAGTCTGTACTATATCCTTAGCCCATTTCATATGATATAATAGTCACTGCAACTTGGATGCTCAATTTGCTCAAGTTGTAGAATGCAAATAATTATCATAATGGCCTGACAGGGTTTTGTGAGGGTAAAATGATGGACTGGGTTTTTTTTTTTTTTTTTTTAATGAAACATTTCCCGCCATATGTTGGTCTTGGACTTGGTGTTGACATCATAAGATATATAAGCTATTGACTCCATTCTCAAGTGGCTCACAGCATAGTAGGGAAAATGGAAAAGTAAATTAATGTCTGTTACAATGTGAAGAATAATACAGGTTTGTGAAGGCATGATAGAAGCAGGGAGGGAGAGAGCAATGAATACTCTCATCTGGTAATTAAGACAAGCTTCTCACTTATACTAGATCTGGGTTTTGAAAACCAAATAATATTTACTGTGATGGAGCTTATGTTTTAGAAAGATAACTTTAGAGGCATTGTCAGCTTTATTCTGTGGGCAAAAGCAAATCTCCGTAACAGGTTTTTGAGGTAGATTTTATTATCCATTTTTTGCATATGAAAAAACTGAGATACAGAGAGGTTGATTAAAGTCTCACTATTACCTACACAATAGTGCCTTAATAGTGGGAATCTCTGACTAGCTGAGAAGCCTATGCCATGGCAGGTAATGGTGGTCTTTTGGGGGATACAGAACTATCCCCTCAAGCTGCTGTGCGTGGTGGGGGCCCATTCTGTCCATACATAGAGCTCGCTCTCGTAACAGAATGATGATTAATTATCTCAATAATCGTTTAATTGTGGAGTTCATACTCACTTCACATTGCATAGGCTTTGAAGTCAAAAATATGTGAATTTTAATTATGGCTCCACCACTTACAAATTGTATAACCACAAGCAAGTTTCTTGATTTCACTGCCCAGGTTTCTTAAATGGAGATGATCATGCATTTCTCAGTGGGTCATTCTAGGGGTTAGATGAGAATATATGCATATTAGTAAAGATAGGCTGTTTATACTGTAGTGAAAAACAAAGTCTTATAGATTCTTTTCTTGCCTTGCTCCTGGTTAGGCAGCTCTCCTGGTTAGCAGAGCCATGGCAAACAAGTCTAGGACCAGTCTCTCTCCATGGACTGTTTTAAAAGTCTTTGAATTTTGATAGACAGATAAATATTTACTTTGTATTTATTTGATTACTAGCAAAGTAAACTTTTTAGTTTATATTTGCCATTTGTTTTGCTTCTTTTATAAATCACTTAATAATTTTACTTAATAAAACCCATTTAGATTTTCTTCTATGATTTCTACCTTTGATCAGCAGGTCCTTTTTGAGGCACAGTATCTTTTAAACCTTTGCTATTTAACAACTATTTGGTGAGTTGTATTCAGTTTTCTTTTGTATCTAGCACTGAAATGGACATTAAGTGGACATGTGGACACAAGACACTTGTGTCATTTCTGCCTTGGAGAAGATTATGGTTTTGCCAGGTTGATGAGACTTATCAACATGAAGCAGTTAGACAATAACACAATAGATGTGTGACTAGGTGTGTGTCTCTACTTGACACCTGTTCTTGTATAACATTTATTCACTTAATGGAAAATTGGATGAATGTAGATATCAAATTATGAACTTGGTATCTTCTCATTTATTTTTCCTCCCCCTAAACCAAACCTAATCCTTCATCATATTGCATCAATTCTATGTCAGGAAAATCTCTCAAATCTGGCTGTTGCTTTCCATCCTTACTCCTTTTGCCTTGTCCTGAGCCTAGTATTTGGTCTTTTGAAATAGCCTTCTTTAGGCTACTCACAATCTGGCCCATCTTCCACATCAGTCTCAGAGTATTATGCAGTGCCGATCAAGTGCAATGCTGGTCATGTCATTTGTAGGTTTAAATGCTTGCCATGGCTCTCCAACTCCTGTGGGATAAACCAAACTGTTTAGTGTGGCATTCAAGTTCCTTCAGAATCTGGCCAGTCCACATATCTGGCTTTACCACTCCCTTACCCATAGTTCAGACACTTGTCTAAACTTATCCCAAGACTGTTCCTGCAGCACTTCTTCTCATAATTCTTTGCCTTTGTAGCCTAGCATATGGATTGAAATCCTGGGCTCTGATGTCAGACCAACCTGTTTCAGCAGTGAGGTCTCTAAGTCTCAGTTTCCTCACCTGTGAAATGGGAGCAAAAATAGTTCCTACTTCTAAAGGTTATGAGGAATAAATGAGCTAATTTCTGTAGAACAGAACCTGGCATATAATAAGTCCTTGATAATTATTAGCTATTAATTGTTATTATACATACAGTTTTCTCCACAGAAAATTCCGTTTCTATTACTTTTCCTGCACTGACAGAAATTCAACTCATCTTTCAACTTCTATTTCAGCGTTACAACTGCAGTCAAGCCTTCCCTGCTTGCTTTGTGCTCCCATTGTCTTAGTTCTTATCTCTGTAGTAGCAGGTATTGCCCTATTCTGTCAAGTAGCTGTTTACATGCCAAACTTTTTAGTTTGATTATAACTTTAGTTTGAGGGCAGAGTCCCTCAATGGGTTGATGATCAGCTAGTGTTTATTAAGTGTCTGTAAATGAATACTGTACTTGCCCTAAGTAAGATTATAGACTCAATGGGAAGGAAAGTAATTAAACTAGTAATTCCAAATATGCAAAATATTTTGAAAGGTATACATAGTGGTATGGAAGAATTTGGGTGAGGGTGTTGTTGGTGGTTACCCAGTTGAGTCTTAGGTGAAGAAAAGGCCTTGTCTTATTCAATTTGGTATTGATAAGAACTAGCCTGACTCTCAGTAAGTTATTCCCTAAGTGTTTATTGAATGTATAAATATTGTTATTATTATTATTATTTTGAGATGCAAATTATGGACCTGGGCTTAACCTATCTCTGTAAACAACTGAATTCTTCATGAATGTAGCATGGATTTTTCACTCTAACATACAGCAAATAGATTAGAGTTTATCAACTGGTTTTCCTCTTAAGTTCTTTCTCAGTTTATATCTTATAGATCTGTTACTACTTCTCAAATTCTGGAGCCAATTTGAAATCTGGGTGGAGAGGGAAGAGAAAACTGGACCAGAAGGAAGAAAGAAGGAAAGTATAAGAGTGGCTTCTCTTTTGTTGTGACCATTTTGGTTTCCTCAAGTTAAAAGAAACAAACAAGTAAAAGTAGA